TAATCCAATTCAAAGCCACTCCTCTGATCCCGTATTTTTCTAGCTTGCACATTAATAATTCATGTTTGATTGTGTCAAATGCCTTTTTTAGGTCAATAAAAGTTCCTATCGTGTATTTCTTTCCATCCATGGCACTTGTAATGTCCTCCATCAGGTCGGTAATGGCCAAGGATGTCGACCGGTTCGACCTAAAACCATACTGACAATCAGAGAGGATTTTATGTTTATCAATAAATGTATCTAATCTATTATTGAAGAGTTTTTCCAGAATTTTTGAAAATTGTGACAACAGAGAAACCGGCCTGTAATTCGTGAAGTTGTGTTTATCACCAGATTTATACAGAGGGATAACCTTTGCTATTTTCCTATTGTTAGGGAACTGCCCAAGTCGAAATGACAATGGCTCATCCGCAAGAGCTGTAGGATTGGTCTGAACAATTTTTTCTCTAATAGTTGTGATTTTATTTGTAAAGAAGCTCATGAAGTTATTTGCTGCTGAGATCTAATGGAATGTTAAGCTCAACAGCACTGTGGCTCTTTGTCAGCCTGGCTACAGTGCTGAAAAGAAACCTGGGCTTGTTCTTATTTTCCTCAATCAGTGATGAATAAAATGTGGTTCTGGCACTACGAAGGGCTTTTTTATATGTTATTAAACTATCTTTCCAGGCTATGAAAAACTCTTCTGACTTAGTGGAGTGCCACCACCTTTCCATTTTTTGTGATGCCTGCTTTAGGGAGCGGAGCTGCGAGCTGTACCATGGGGCCTCCTCTGTTTCACTGCCTTCCTTTTCAGAGGGGCAACAGTATCAAGTGTATTACACAGGGAGGCTGCAGTACTATCAACAAGATTATTGACTTGTGTGGGAGTAAAGTTAAGGTGGCCTCCCTCCACTGTGTTGGCAAATGGCACTGAAGTAAATAATGATGGAATTATTTCCTTAAACTTGGTAACAGCATTGTCAGATAGACATCTACTGTAGTGGAATTGTTTCCCACATAGAGTATAATCTACTAATGTAAATTCAAAAGTTTTTAGAAAATGGTCAGACAGAAGAGGGTTTTGGGGAAAAACTATTAAGTGTTCAGTTTTGATGCCATACGTCAGAACAAGATCAAGAGTGTGATTAAAACAGTGAGTGGGTTTATTTACAGTTTGAGAAAAACCAACTGAGTCTAACAATGAACAGAATGCATTGTTGAGGCTGTCACTGTCAGCATCTACATGGATATTAAAGTTGCCTACTATGATTATTTTATCTGTACTAAACACTAAATCACACAAAGTCTGAGAATCCAGTTAAAAACTCTAAATAAGGAGCAGGTGGATGGTAAACAATAACAAATAGAACTGGCTTTTGAGTTTTCCAGTTTGGGTGTGAGAGATTCAGAGTGAAGCTTTCAAATGAGTTATAACTATGTTTAGGTCTAGGGTTGATTAATAGGCTGGAGTCAAAGATCGCTGCCACACCTCCACCTCGGCAAAGAGACAGCAGAGAGGCATGTAAGACTGTGACCCTGTGTCCTGGACTCAACTCTGGGTTGTCACAATTTAGGTTGTAAAATAAACTTGTCCAGATTTCTAGATATGAGAGCCACACCACCCAAAGTGGGATGGATGGGATCAAGGACCTAATCAATCAGTTTTTCAAATTTTAAAACTGATCAGTTTTCATTAATCCACCCAGACAGAAGAAATAGAAGTTGAAATGTGAAAATAGTGATAAGTAAATGTTTTATGTATTTTTTTAAACATGCAAACACCTTAATCCTTCAGACAATCACATACACAGTGGTGTTCCTGCACATGTGGCTTCCACTCACACCTGTGAGTGAGTATCTGCCTGGCTTCTCATCCATTCGACTGTTGTATATGTGTAGCTGAAGTCTGCCCCCTGCCGAGCCGGGAACACAGGGAACTGCAACCCACCCGCTGTGTTCCTGCGCCCCCATAGCTCATTCATGCGATTCATGTCATTGCCACGGCCAGTGCTTCTCATTGGATTCCATTGCAAATGAAACATCAGTGTTTGAATAAATTCTGTATTGTTTACAGCTTTTCAACCAGCTCTTCCCTTTCTCCCCATTTTCCACAGAAAAGAGCTAAGAAACTGGAGGGTGAAACTATTTATATCAGACATAGCAATTTAATGCTGGAGGTTGGTATCTTCAGTCTTTAGATATGTGTTCTGGCTGCTTGCTGCCATGTTTGTCTAATTGCATGGATGTTATTTTGAATTTCTTTTTGCTTTTTTCTGTTTCTTTTAATTTCTTGTTTTCAGCTTAACCCAAAAGGCTTGGCATGCACCATATTCCTCACTGATTCTCATGCAAGTAGCTTCACTTCACTTAGACCTTGTTTTTGTCATTTCATATTTTCATTTTTTGAAATATATGATTGGGAAAGGTCTCTAAAGTTTAAACTGATACTGCAGCATGGCCTTTGGTACTGAAACAAGTGTCTAAAGTCACAATGCGCTTGCTCTGTAAGTCAGGTAGATTGTCTGTCTGTACGAAGTATAAAAAGTAAAGTAGTATTGTCTCAGTGCTATCCTAGTTACACACTTTCCCAAACTTTTGTAAGTGAAACACTGACCACAACCTTAACTCAACGAAAACAGTTCAAACTTCAACCAAAAAAAAACAAACAAACCATGGCTGTGAATTTAAAGCTGTGTGTTTGGTGCGTTATGCACAAGTTACTGTGAGAATCTGGTAGTGCTGTGTACCAGTCACAGAGTAGCTTCAGTACCTGGCCTGCTATTTTATTTTTAAAAAGGTACTATCTTTGCTCTTTCCCACTCATGTAAGTGTCAGAGGTGTCACTAACAGATTCTTGTCACCTCTGTTCGTCTCTTCATTGTTCATCATGGCTTCCTGGAACTTCCAGTCTCCTTTCGTTTGAGTCATTCATTACATACTGTATATATTAAGCCCCTCCCAATGCTACCTCTGTATTTACTGTGTGTGACTCTGAACTTCTCTTGTCCCGATTACTGTTCTCACTGTGCTGTGTGACATTCTCTGCATCTGAGTTTAAAGGATTTCAGAAGAGACGGGTGACATGCTTTCTTCAGCCTTATAATCCTCATATTGCTGATTTTGTCCTTTTTAAAGCTACATTAAAGATCACCAAGGAGGGTCAAAAGGGTCACTATAGAGACAAACCCCAGCAGTCTGTGCAGCTCTGCTCAGTCTCTTGGCCTCTTTAAGATTGTTTAATTTTTACAGTCATACCATACCTGGGCTCTGGCTACCATGTTGGCTGCAAAGTATGTGATATGTAACCGCCCTCTTCATGTTTATACTGTACGTGTTTACTTCTCCAGTTCACCCTGCCACCTACTCAGCCTGCCTGCCAGCTTTTAAGTAACATGTGGCTGTACATGATAAAAATACATTTTGGCATTTTGGAAAATAGGCTACCAAGTGTTATCATGGAAAGTCATGGAATGGCTGTGAACTTTATTTTTCAGCAGCCGCTGCTGGGCTGTAATATGGGTCGTGGATCACAGAAGACAATGAATGACTCTCCTCAATGCAATCTGTCTGCTTTGTCAGTAAGACATCTTCCATGCCCTTAGTGTGTCACTGACAATAGGCAAGCTCAATCGAAGCACATGCTTTTGAATATTACAAAGCCACGCTGCATATTAAAGAATTATTTGTCAGTGTATTGAAAGAATGGCAGAACTTCTTTTCCAGTCTGGGTGATTCATTATTTGTGGCTACTTTGCTCCTGTCTTTATATAAATGTTTTTCTACATGGTGACATTGTTTTCACTTCATTTTCATGCCTGCTTTCTTTTACATCCTACTCACACATTTTCTATCATCTTGTTCCTTCTCGTATTACTATTTCGCTTCCACCTACCTATTCTGACTTTCACATTCTTGTTGAAGGACCTGGATAAGACACAGACTGAGATCATGCGTCACCACACTAGCATCAGTGAGCTGAAAAGAAGCTTCATGGAGTCGGTACCTGAACCTCGGCCCAGTGAGTGGGACAAGCGTCTTTCCACCAACTCACCTTTTCGCACAGTGAGCATCAATGGCCAGCTCCAGCCAGGGGTGAGTGCAGCAACCTGGGGAGAAAATACACTGCAACAGTACTGTTGAGTTCTATTGAGTAGACCCTACTAGTGCAAAGTTTCCAAGTTGTTAATGGTGTGTTTTCTCAAGATGTAACTATGCTAGCAGCTTCCCCAGCTTCCAGTCTTGTGCTAAGCTGTTCTAAACGTCCCTGTCCTATATCTGTGCTGGATGCACAGAAGTGTAACTGATGCATTCTTCTCATCTGTAATATGTCAAACCAGAAGACTTTTCTAAAATGTCACACTGTTCTTTTAAGCCACACTTACTGCACAAGTCTCTGGGTTGTATCTTGAGTAAAGGAACAGTCTTAATTTAAATTTTGTGTGCTAGCTAAATAACTACAGTCATGGCCAAAATATTGTCACTGCTGAATTTTTGTCATATAACTCACCACCTCTCCCAGAAATTTCTTTGGTATTCTCGTCTTAATTTCTTTTGTTTGCATTGGAACAACAAAAACCTGAGAAAAAAGCCAAATCTGATCCTTTCCTCACCCTCTACTTAATATTTGGTAGCACACCCTTTGGATAAAATAACTGAAATCAGTCACTTCCTGTAACCATCAGTGAGTTTCTTCCACCTCTCTACTTGACTTGTGGACCACCCTTCTTCTGCCAATTGCTCCAGGTCTCAGGTTTGAAGGGTTCCTTCTCCCAGCTGCTGTTCTGAGATCTCTTCACAGCTGCTCTATGGGGTTTAGATCTGGACTCATTGCTGGCCACTTCACAACTCTCCAGCTCATTGTCCATTTCTGGTGCTTTGGGAAGTCTGCTTTGGATCATTGTTCTGCTGTAAGACCCATGACCTCTGACAAAGACCCAACTTTCTGACACTGGGCCCTACATTGTGGCCCAAAATTCATTGGTGGTCTTCAGATTTCATAATACCAGACACACAGTCAAGACATCCAGTACCTGAAGCAGCAAAGCAACCCCAAAACCTCAGTGAACCTCCAAAGTGTTTGACTGTAGGGACGTGTTCTTTTCTTTGAAGGCCTCATTTCATTTTCTGAAAACAGTAGAATGATGTGCTCGACCAAAAGCTCTATTTCAGTCTCATCTGTCCACAGGACATTCTCCCAGAAGGACTGTGGCTTCCTCAGGTCAGTTTTGGCAAACTGCACTCTGGCTTTTCTATGTTTCTGTGTCAGTAGTGGGGTCCCTGGGTCTCCTACCATAATGCCCCTTGTCATTCAGATGGAGACAGACAGTGCAAGCTGACACTGTTGCACCCTGTGTCTGCAGGTCAGAGTGAATTTGTCTGGAAGTTGACCGAGGTTTTTTTTATCCACCATTCAAACCATCCTTTGTTGCAATCTGCCATCTATTCTTCTCTTTCGTCCACGTCCAGGGAGATCAGGTACAGCACCATGGACTGTAAACATCTCGACAGCGTTGTGCACAGTGGACACAGGAACAGCCAGATCTCTGGACATGGACTTGGAGCCTTGAGACTGTCTAGGCTTTTCCACTATGTGGTTCTCACATCCTCAGACAACTTTGCTCTTCTTTCTTATCTCTGTGCTCAGTGTGGTCCACACCACACAAAGGTTGAGTCAACTTTTCTCAGTTTTAACTGGTTGCCAGTGTGATTTCCATGTTACCATCACCTGTTGGTTGCTACAGGTGAGTTTCACTACAAATTAAAGGAGCATCACAGGCTGGAAACAACGATTTCTGATGATTTTGAAAAGGTGTCAGTAATTCTGTCCAGTACATGTTTTTGGTTTTGTGTGTGGAATGGATCAGATTTGGCTTTGTTCTCTGCTTTGTTGTTTTGAAATAAACATGAGAATAGCAAAGAATTTGTAATTTTCTGGGAGAAGTGGTGAGTTATCTGACAGAAATGCAAGGGTGCCAATATTTTGGCCATGACTGTAGAAGGCCATTCATGGAAAAAACATAGCTTAAACTGGTTTTCTCAGGATATGAGAACATTTATGGTGTTTTTCCATTAGCACGGGTCAGTCCTGCTGAGCTGAGTTAGAGCTGTTGTGTTTCCACTGCACCGTAAAATGTGTTGTTTAAGCATGCACAAACTGAGACTAGTGAGAATTCTGAGTCCAGATTAGATGGATCTGAGCTAATGTCACGGGAAACCTAAACTGTGGCAGAAATACAATATGATGGGAATATTAGGGTGGATTAACCACTAGGGGTCTTAGAGGCAAATCCAAAAATATTTCTCAGCTGGAAACCTGGCCTGCTCCAGGTTTACTGCAAGTCATTAAGTAGTTTCTGATTATTTCACTTCAGGATAAGCCCAGTCATTTTCTATATTAATGGTATTTTCAACACTCCCCATACACAGACTCAAAATAACCTCTACTCACGGTTAATCTCTGTCAGTCCCGGATTATCTTATTCTTGTCTTCCATTGACCACTGTTGTTGTTCAAAAACAATTAAAAGCATCAGGGAAACACTGCTCTGCACTGGATGACATGGTTTTTCATTATAAAACAGCAGACCTGTATATTTGTTAAAAATGTTGCCCAGAAAGCTCCAAATAACCAGAACGTTTACAGTGTCTGAAGTAGCAAGAGTCAGCTACGCATGCGTGAGGTCTCCGTGGCAGCTTTATATTTTGTTTACAGTCCGCTAGCTCTTCACACTTTCACGGAGATCTCTCACATGTACAGTTGTCTTCCTACCTCAGATGCTGTAAAAGTTCTGGTCATTTGGAGCTTTTTGGACACCTTTTTAACAAATATGAGGATCTGGTTTTTCTCTTATCTGTTTTTAATTGTTTTTGAATGACAACAGAGGCACAAACAGGCTACTCATTGCTGCTTTAGTCTCTGTACAGGGATTGTTGTATGTAAGAAAAGATGAACATTCTCAGGAAAAGGAAACTTTTTGTACATGACATTTAGATAAAACTGTTGAAATGAAATTCCATGTCGATTATTAAATTATACAAATCTTTGAAATTACAAGAGTAATAAAGAAACAGAGTATAAAATCGGATATGTTTTGTACATCTGTCAGAACTTTAGATTAGACATTTTTGCATCAATAATTTATTATTTTATTCTATAGCATATAGATTTGCCTAGAATTACAGCCAGCTGTAGAGGTTTTGGCCAGAATCTTGACATTTGAAATACAATTTCATTTCAAGGCTATGATTCAAAGAATGGAAGGTACTAGCGAATCACATAAAATATTATGCATTTTACATAAATGAAACCTTTGTCATCACCTAATAATTAATATTTATTTTTAAGCAAACAACACACTGATGCATTCTACACAGTTCCTTTTTACTAACTTGCATAGCCTGAAATTCCACTGTGCTATATAGCCTTTCTAGATATTCACTGGCCCCATCTTGCTACTAACTAAACTAAAGAGTTTCTGCATGTGCCATGTTTTCAGAAGGCTTACAATAGGCCTTTTAAAAAGGCGCTTTAGGCCTGGTAGTGTTATTAGTAACACTACCGGTGGTGGTCAAAGTGTCTGCTCTGAAAAAGGCCAATCAAGACACACTGATGCTCAACCCTTTGTGTAACCATATTATCAACCATAATAGATTTTGACACAGGGTCCATCCATAAGACAGCACCTCAAAGTTTGGTAAAAATATGACAGCTTCAGCTTTCAGGACCGCATAGGGTGTGGGACCAAATGGCAGTTTCCCGCTTTGCATGGTTAGTTATCAGGCCTTATAATTGTTCAGGTGTCTTCCCAAAAATAACATGTACACCCCTGGAGGAATATTGTGGGTATTGAGCATAAATATATTGTTGTTGTCCATGAAGAACATGGCAGATGTGCACAATGTACTTTATCATCTTTGTCATCGGGAACTATACACTGATCCTACACTTGGAGGTGCTGTTGGCTTTCATCTTATCATTCCACTGCTTTAATATGAATGTAGCTGCAGTAACAGAGGGACTAGACACTTGAGGATTTTTTTCACATTGCCAATGTGAAGATGGCGTGTGTGTGTGTGTGTGTGCAGGGGAGGATGTCCACAGTTGCATCTGCATACAGAGTAGTTGGTGGCGTGTCTGAGGTAAAGGTATTCTGATATGGTGCTTTCTGGCGCAGGCTGCAGTAGATCAGCACTGTCTGGCATTTCTTTCTGAGCAAAATAAAGATTGGCACTGGACGCTATGGCCATTGCCATGGCCTACTGTTACAAGCGGCACTCTGATGTCACCAGATTGCAGTCTAAAGGGTTCAGTATGCTTCAAACCAACTAGTTTGTGTTGCCTGAACACATCTTGTTCTGAAAGGTAACACTTGAGCACTTGAAAGTGTGGAGCTCGCAACCACAGAGTAGGATGAGATGTGACATATTATAAAAATGAAGGCAAGGGTGCACACTTTAAATGAAGGGTGTAGGGTAAGTTGGTTTCAGTGCTGTTCAGAACATGACAGCCACTGGTTTGAAGCATACTGGCACCTTTGTAAGGGCCCTGTCCTGGATCCCATCCCTCTTTACCCTAATCCCAGCCCACTGCCTTCGCTCTGTGAATGGCTACTGCAAGCTTTGTCATCATGTTTGATCTGCCAATCAATCGCATGGCTGGGTCAATCCTAACACTGTATGTCTGCATGATTCTTGTGCCTGATATGATCAGTGATAGACTGAAGAGCAAAAGAACAATGAAAACAAGCTTAAGAACAATGATTACTAGCCAGAGGACTGACCAGCCCCCCTCCTCTTCATCTTTCTCACCATCCAATCCTCCTCCATGTATCTGTCCCTCCCTGGATGTCTGTTTTTTGTCTCTGTCTTGTATCTCTGTCACCTCTGTCCTCATCTCCCTTCCCTTGTCTGTTGAAGTCTGTGCCTGTTTATCCAGTCAGATCCCCTCCACCTCCATCCCCCTCTCCGCCACCTCCATCATTCATTTCTGCGCGTTCAGACATTGACACTAAAGGCCAGAGAGGTCCTCAGTCCTCTGACTCGACGGTGTTTCCCTCTGGCTCTCAGCTATCCTTTACCCATAACTTGAAGACC